AGGCATTTTCAACTGTGGGAACACCTGACTACATAGCTCCTGAAGTGTTACTGAAGAAAGGATACGGCATGGAATGCGACTGGTTAGTTATATTTATTTTCTGTTCACTTTCTTTCTCATGATTGCAATTGGATCTACAATTTGTTCTCCGTTTTTTTGCTTCACCTTCATGCATGATGCATATCTGTTCTGCTTTTCTAGCTGTACACCATATATCGTTTTTCTTGCAACAACTTCAATAGTGGGAGCTAACTAATTGCTGAAACTAACTGCGGTTTCTCTGTGAATTTCTCTTAATAAAAATAATGCAGCCTTTTCTTTTGACTTATTTTAGGTGGTCATTAGGAGCAATACTGTATGAAATGCTAATCGGATACCCGCCATTCTTTTCTGATGATCCAATTACCACATGCAGGAAGGTACATGCTTCTGTCTGCTTTATTTTTCTCTGCTCCAGTTGACCTTTGGTGCACTGTTATTACTATTACTTGATGGAGATTTTTTTCCCTGACATTTTGGTCGTCGATTACTGTCAGATTGTGCGTTGGAGGAATCACCTAAGATTTCCTGAAGTTTCAAAGATAAGTCACGAGGCAAAGGATCTTATATGTAGATTGCTATGCGATGTCGAGCACAGATTGGGTACTGGAGGGGCAAATCAAATTAAAGTAAGATTATGATCAATTGAAACATCGCTTCTTTTCCGCCGACTATTTCTGCTTCCCTATGGTTGTTGACATGTAATTTTGTCAGGCTCATCCTTGGTTCAAGGACATTGTATGGGATAAGCTATATGAGATGGAGGCTGCATTTAAACCTGAAGTGAATGGGGAGTTAGATACTCAAAATTTTATGAAGTTTGATGAAGTATAACTTGAACTCTACTTTACTTTTGCGTATTCGAAGTACTTAATCGCTTTCTTCATAAATGTTTCTTAGTGAAATTAAAGATTTGTTTTAATCTGACTATTTGTTGATGAATTATCACCAGTTGGATCCTCCAGCATCGGCAAGACCTGGCTCGGGATCCGCACGGAAGGTCTGTAACAAATGGAACTCTATTCCTTTCCTTTTTTGTTAAGACATGGTAATTTACGAAAAAAAATGAATTCTTCTTTCAATTTCTCTCTTCTGAAAGTGCTAACACCTTGTTACAAAAACAAATACATTGATTGGAGAAATATATGCATTTTTTTTCCATGAAAATCAACATTTTTTCTCGTTATATTTATATCTCGACTCATTCTTCCACGAGTTGCTAGTTCCCGCAAACACATTATACTTGTTAAAGTTTTATTTATTTTGCCCCCCTGGTTTATGCAGATGTTTTCAACTCCCAAAGATTTAAGTTTTGTTGGCTATACATACAAGAACTTTGATGCTGTCAAAGGGCTACGCCATGGTTTTGGTATGCAATTTGTGTTGTCGACGTCGAGATTTTTCTGCTCCACTTAAAAGAGAAAACTTGACATCACCTCTATAAACTGTGTGCAGATTTCAACAATCCATCAATGGAACAGCCACCTGTTGATTCTATATACAGTAATGGACTAATGGCCCTTTCTCTTCTATCTTTTCGTCTTTCATCATCAAGTCCCCAACGTTATTGTAGTCATATATATGATATTTCTCTTTCTTCATTCTGATAGATTAAGCTTATCAACAAATGCAGGTGATTCCGACCTAGGTTATCCTACTAGGCGATCGGCCGAGGAAACAGATATGCAGATGCTTGCATCGGCAGGTGATCCCATGTTGTCATAAAGTACCCAAAGCCTAATAAACCCCTTATATATGGGGATGTTTCTGCTTGTGTTGAGTTTGGTAACCCTCCCAAGACCTGCAGTTCTTGTGGAGTGGCTGCCGTCTGATTATCGGAATCACAAAATGTACAGTAATATTTAAGAAAGATTTGAAAAACCGGTGTGGTAGGACAAGGGAAACTCTTAGCCAAAAAGGCTGTGTTAGACTTTAGATGAGAGTTGTGGATGCACTGGCTGCCCAGGTTGGCTGTGCCAAAATTTGCCTTCTCTAGTGGCAGTTTCTGCTCTAAATTTATGACTCTTGAGAAACTCCATAGCCATTTTGGGAGCAAAGATGCTCCCCTTATTGTTGTGTGCAAACTTATATTTACCGGAAACTAGGAATTAACTGCGAGGAAACAAATGTTTTGCTGATACAATATTTCTCGGTAAAATTTTCCTTAATCCTTATTATTTTGTTGTATGATTTAATGCCATCCCAACTTTTTATTGAAATAAGTAGATTTCAGTATGAACATGAAAGCTTAATCTTTTTAATCCTCAAAGTGAAGATTCATGCCCCTAAAACCTGGATAAGTAGCATGTGCCAAAACATTTCTAGAGCGGCCTAAAACTGGTGGCCCGTCGAATGGATTTCCATCCCCATGATCTCGTCAAAAGAACCTGACCCCAATATCGGGTCGACGTCAGCTGTCGTATGTCTGAACTTGAAATTAGAAGCCTTTCTCCATGTATCGAACGCCTAGCGATGCTGGCCTTCAGGTTTTGAAGATTAGCCACTCGACAAGAATTGGACAGGAAATTGTAGGTGAGGCGGGACGTGCTCCATGTGTTGTTCCATTTGTTGAGGACGTAGTTTGAGGTTCGTTCAAGGTTGATGTCGGGGACACCGCAACGAGGGCCGACATAACTTTGATTGTACTAGGATCGATCTTACCGGTCACGTCTAGACGGTAAAATTGTTGGTATGTTTTGAGAGCAGACTCTAAAGCATCATCGAATCGATCATCCATTTGAATGATGCCTTGAGGATAATAGCCGTAGTCTCCGAGGCTTCACTTGATTAATCCCATACACATCATCTCCTTTCTAGGTTTCTTTAAGATTCTCGAAAGATTCGAATTTGATAGGTCTCGACTTCGCTGCAAAAGGATGCAACACGAACAACATAAGGATTGCTCCAAGAAGATGATGAGAAAATTTAGCTGCCATTGGAAGCCCTGTGAAACAAGTTGCAAGATGTATTATTGAGTGCTTTAGTGTGTTTTGATGCTTTCATTCACTCGTATCTATAAGTGAAGAAAATTCAATAAACTAATAGGTCATTAATTAGTGGCAGAATAATGTCATTAATTTGTGTTAATTTTCTAGCCCACATGTATTAAATTTAATTTATGGATATAAAATTCAATACACATTTAATAGATTAAATATAAAATTTTAACTGTTTTCACTTATTAAACACTTAAAATAATAACATCAGATATTTATATTAACCGAAAAAATTACACTACAACATTCGGACAATTTTCACATTAAACCTTAAAAATATTTAAGTGTCAAACTCACACCCCTTTCTTTATAGTAACTCCGCAACTAATTCGACAAATTCTACTTCCAAGGAGTGGCCAGGCCCAGGCCAAACCTTAAACCACATTTATTAGGATAAACTATATTGATAGTCATTGAATTTTAGGATACTTTCATTTTAGTCACCGAAATCCCAAAAACTTTCATTAGAATTTGAGTTATTGCTGCTTAAAATATATTGATTTTATTTAATATATAATAAATTATATTTTATAAATTAAGTAATATTAATATATTTTAATTGATGTTAAAATATATTTTATATTATTTTATCATTTATGTTATAATGAAAATATTAAGATTTTATTTTTCAAAATATTAAATTATCAATAAAATTAACATTTATGTGTTGTTTTTTTTAAAAAAATACGGTATAAAATTTTCATGTATTTAAGGTTCAAGTTTGACTTTGACTTTGAGATTCAATATAATTAAGTTTAAGTTTTTTTTTTCATTTCGAGCTTTTACGAGCTTCAATTCATGATTTCGAGTTTGAGTTGAGCTTGAAAATTTTAGGCTCACGAGTTTTCAAGCTGAGTTGAACTTCATTTTAGAGTTTTTGAGTCGAGTCGAACTTAACAATACTCAAACTTGACTCGTTTATAGCCCTATTTTGAACACATTAAAAATAATAACTATATATTTTTAACCCCTACTATAATAAGGCGAGTTGTACCCTGGGGAGGGTCACCCAAGGCCATCAATGGTTCAAATGTAAAAAATAAAAGTTAGCGGTTAGTGACGTTAAAAATAAAAAAAAATAAATGTTAGTAGTTAGCAGTGTTAGAACTAAAAATAAAATAAAAGTTAGAAGTTAGCGGTTAGTAATGTTAGCGTCTTAACCCAGATCGTAATAACGTGGATAGTTCCCAGGACGGGTGACTGCGCGATCGTACGATGATTCGAATATAACAAATAAAAAATTAGTGGTTAGTAGTTAGGAGTTAGAAAGTTAGTAGACAAAATAATAAAGGGTCCGGATCATAATAATGTGGGTCATACCCCAAATCGGGTCACCACAAGATCGAATCGAATATTATGTGAACAAATAAAGCCATCAGCAAGTGACTAAAATAAAAAGTAAGGAAATAAGAGCATCAGATTCGAAATATGAAAACAACAAAAAACAAGGCAGCACTGACCAAAGTGGAAAAACCTGGCAAAATTGGAGTGACCTAAGCATGATTATCCCTAAAACCTAAAATAGTAACTCATTTCTTTACCACTCGAGGAAAATCTCACTTTGAATCTAAAACATGGCAATATTTTGCCCTCTCGTGATTTTGTATCTGATCTTACTTGCATGGTGTTGAATCCGATGTGAACTTTGGGGCTCAGTGGAGGGACCACTGTGGGTTCTTTGCTTGATGGCGAGTGACCTGAGGAGGGGAAGCATTACTTGGAGATGAGCTGGAACGTTTTTTGGAAGCTTGAGGGGGATCTGTTGACGTGTTCTTGGTGGAATTTGTAGTTTGGGTATGAACACTTGGGTTATGATTTATTTGTTGTTTTACAACTAGAAGACTCCTCAGTTTGATGGTTTACAGAGATTGGTTGTTCATCAGTAACCAGAGGAAGAAGGTCTGCAACTTCCATATACATATATAGATGAATTGAAAAAAAATGAAATAAACAATAAACATACAAACTGATATAGTTATGATGATTAGATATCGAAATTATTTGTGTAGGATAAGGTTGGCGATGGCCCTCTCTTCGTCCCTACCACATGGTCAACTTTCTGGAAAATATTAACAGTGAGGCGAACGGTGTGAGCTAGAAGAAGAAGAGCCATCACCGAAAGCCACACCACGAGAGCGTAGTCGAGTATCCGAGTGACATTTAGTTCCTGTGCCTTTGGGGTGAAAACCAGAAGTGATATTCTGTATGTAAACGCCATGGCTGAGATGGCAACCCACATGATCACCGTCAAAATCCACATGAAGAACCTTCGCTTGAAAGGCAACCCCGTGATCAGCAACAAGATGATGCTCATCGATGCGATGAAACTTATCGTGTTTGCAGCAAGGTACTGACCGTAATAGCTCTGGTTTCGATACGCTGATATCGATGTTCCCGCCTCGTGTGTTCCATTGGTGATGTTGTTGCCTTGGGGCGCTTGTATCAAACCATCTTGCCATAGACCACCAGGAGGGGTTAGTCCAGCTTGGAAAGACATCGTTGCCATAAGTGATGCCACCACCATCAATGAATCTCGTTTCCTTGTGAGCCAATCTTCCTTCTTGAAAGTCTTTTCCACCCAGTGGTATTCTTTTGCTGGTTGGTTGGTTGGAACATCTCGAGCAAACAGAGGTGTTGTCTCAGTCCTCAATCGAACCGTTCGAGGCCCCGAATTATAAATTTCCGCTGCTTTTAGAGCACCGGCGTCTCGAAGGGATTCGGCCATCTCAAAGTCTTTCAATCCTCTCCTACTCTGTGCAAGAACATCTAATGCTGTTAAACCGTATGCATTGAGACCGTTTACTTCGATGCCAGTAACGGAAAGCAAGAATTTCATTATCTGCAAATTTTTACCAGTATGCACATCTGATTAATATCAAGAGCAATAGAAAGGGTTAGAACTGATACATTATGGCGATCCAGTCCAATCCATACCTCAATTTGCTTGTAAGCAACCGCTAGGTGCAATATAGACATGCCATACTCATCTTTAGCATTCACAATTTCATGGTCTTTCATTACTTCAACCAATAGCCTTAAAGCCTCAAATTGTCCATACTTGACACACAAATGCAATACGGTTTCTCCCGACGCCACCGGAACCCGAGCCGCCTGCGGTCTAACACGGACTAGTTCCTTCAAAACTCCAACCTGGCCTTTCATGGCTGCAAGATGAAGAGGATTCCTTTCTTCTTTATCAACAGCCAGACACATGTCAGGGCTCACCAGCAGTAACGCTTTAACTATCTCAACATACCCTTTAGCCGACGCCAAGTGAAGAGGCGATGAACCCTTTGAATCCGCTTCTTTGGTGAACTCTGGCTTTCTCTGTATAATCTCCTTGACGAAATCTGTATGTCCAAGCATGGCTGCAACATGTAAAGGAGTCTCGACGGCGTAATTAACGAGCACGCGGTCGAGAAGCAACCGATCTTGTCGGATTAATTCTAACAAAACCGTTACGTTCCCTTCTTCGGCTGCTTCATAAAGCTTGTTTTCCAATGTTGCCGCCATTTTTTGTCATGTGTTCGAAGCTGCAGATGATAGCTTAAATAGCCGCAGATGAAAGAATTTTCAAGCCCAATGTGATGGAAAACTGACTTTCACGGTGATTTCCGCAAAACCGTTGAATGGGTTTATAATTTTATAAAAGGAGCTCAAGTTGACTACGAAACATTTTTAATGAGCAGTTGAGCACAAGTGCACAACAAGCAGTGAAGGGATTATCTATGGCAAAATCAAAAGATTGCAGCATTTGACGATTTCTAAACTCAACATGGTTGAATCTTAGATCGTTTTAACACAAACTTTTATATATTTTAAAGAAACAGGTGGGGAAATTTGATTGATCTGAAAACATTTCCATTGATTATTAAAGGTTTCACACTGTATACATGGAAATACTGGGTTTAATCCCAGCACTGTGCAATATTTTTTTCATCTTTGAATCTTACTCAACTTTGACCAATTCTATATTTGAAAAGGTACCCAAAAGTTACTAGTTATTTGGATTCAACAGTGGATAAAGACGATTCGGCCGCCACAAAAGGAAGAAGAAAAGAAAAAACAACAAAACCCCCTTTTTTGTTTCTGGTTTTACAGCTAGTAGAAGCTAGAAAGTCATAAATTTTCCTGTTATTTTCTGCTTAAAGTTCCTAACTTTTTTGTCCAAATTCTAGAATACTAAAAGCACAGTGAATTTCCAATTTTCGTTGCCTTTTGGTATTCTTCTTCACTCTCATGCTAAGAGCTGAGTTTGTTTGTGATTAATTTTGGTGAAAGGATAACAGAAAAGGAATCTGATTTTACACGGTTGAGCTGAACAGCTTACAAAGGTGGTGAAAATGAACTTAAGTGCAGCCGAGGATGATTCAGTGTCAGAGATATATATCAGTATTCAGTGGATACAGATTGGCATATGCTTAATAAATCTAAGTTCTTTTTTTCTTGGTGCAGCTTTCTTTTCAGGTGTATCGGGTGCTCTTTACCCCCATAGTAGTGCTGAAAACTAGGCAACAAGTTTCATCCACTCAAGTTTCATCCACTCAAGTTTCTTGCTTTAAAAGGTCTTTCTCCATCATGAAATATGAAGGACTTAAAAGATTCTGTAAGGGTTTTTGTATCTCTTTGATGGGAACAATCCCAGCTAGAGCACTTTACATGGGAGCCCTTGAGATTACCAAGAATAGTGTTGACACTGCAACTGTTAGGTAAGGGTTTTCAGATACTACAATAACCGCTATGGCTAATGCAGCTTCTGGTTTGAGTTCAGCTATGGCAGCACAATTGGTTTGGAGCCCAATTGACCAAAGACTTATGGTTTAAGGATACAATGATATCCATGGTAGCAAAAATGTAAATCCCAATGTGATTTTTTGTAGATATAGGAATGGTCTTGATTCGTTTAAGGAAATTCTACATGCAGATGGTCCTAAAGGACTATATAGGGGATTTGGGATCTCGATTTTGGCTTATGCACTTTGGTTGGCGTCTTACAAGGTACTGTTGCACACAAGCTCATTTGGAGCGGTATTGGTTTACTTGTGTAAGAAAGAGGAGATTGGTGGTTTTAGGCCTAATTCGAAGGCCTTGGTGGCGGTCCAAGGGCTAAGTGCAGCCATGGCTAGTGGCACTTCGGCTTTGATCACCATGCCAATTGACACCATTAAGACCAGATTACAGGTACTGGATAGCGAAGGGTATGGGGTAAGAAAACCATCAAATGTTCTGCAGACAATGTGAAATTTAGTGCAAGAATGTTGATTGGCAGCTTATTACAGAGGATTGGGGCCACACTGGGCATCAAGCCATCAATGGCCATCTCTGCAACAACCATGATCACTACATATGAGTTCTTGAATCGATTTTCGACTAAGGCCCAATAGCCCTCAATGACATAAAAAGAGACATTGAGGGTTTTAACCAGTTTGCTTAGTAAAGGGGTTACTAATTGTAAATTCTTTTCTTCTTTCGGCTTGGTAATGATGAGCATCACCTGCATATTAATGTACAAGGCATATCTAGCAGTTTTTCTTCCTTTTATTTTCTTCATCTCATTATGTAATAATAATATACAGAAGATTCAAACATAAAATTAAGTCTCTCCTTCCAATTGCAGAAAGAAATGATTATAAAATATACAATTTTATAATCAAATCAAACAGCTAGTTCACGACCTACATATTCCAAGTAAACACAGGTCTCCTACATTAAAGGGCACATTTACTACAAACAAACTTGACTACTCCACCTACTAGACAGTTAGAAAGTCCATAACATCCGAATTCACATCAAATGAGCCACGAGCAACCATCGTCAAGGCCGCACTCTCTTGTTGCTGCACGATGGGCATTTGTACTGCTTAATATGCTCGGCCCTTGCCGGTGTAATCTTAACGCACTTCCCATGGAACCATTTCTCGCAGATATCACAGCAGATCCAGAATTCATCAGCTGCATAATTCTCTCCACAAGCCCCACATAACGTCTCTCCGTGCTCCTCATCATCTTCCTCTTCCATACCATCTTCACCCTCATCCTTTTCCACCACCACCTTCGAATACTTGGGCTGACACTCAGAACCTCGCTGCATATTTTCGAACATAAAAGGGAAATAAAAATATAATTTATAAGGTCCTCTTCCCTAGGGTTTGCTAGATTGGACTTCTAATGATTTTCTTTCTATTTTTGGTCTCACAAATGGAAGCCGTGCCATTTTCCGGACACAACGCATTGTGGTATCTAGATTTTGATAAAGAAAATCCACAACCGATGATAAAATTAACTCCATACACCCTTCAAACTGTGAGAATAATGTTTTCACACACCTCAACCAACCTTAACCCTAAAATTTAAACAGATTAGCATTTAACGGAACAGCTAAGCAAAAGAAAAAATGTCCCATACCTTAGAGTTTGATTTAGATTTGTTGCTACTATGATTTGAAACTGACGAATTTTCCTTTGTCTGTTTCTTAGCCACTCCTGTCACAACTTCGAATATTGTTGGAAGACCGGTATTATTGCAGAAGAAAACATGGACTAGTTACAGCAAAATGCAAATCTGATACACAGTGTCCCATTTGAAGCATGCTAATTCATGCAAGGCCTAGCTCGTATCATGTCCACAGACACTGTAAGCACTTCACTCTAAGGCCTGTACTTAACAATCAGACCAATCATACATTGTACACAGAACACCTAGCTTTCAAACTAATTAATGGGGCTTCCCGAAATAAATGGAAAATTATAGACAAGTTAAACAAGTTTAGATAATGTAATAAATTTTACCTTAAAGTGAAGATCTGTTTACGAAAGAAACAAGTCAACCAAGAAATTTTCATATAAGCACATAATTAGTATAAAAAATGCTAATGAAATTGATAACAAAACACCAAAACTGCAAGATACTCGAAGCAATTATTTGGATGAGCCGTTGCATGTCTACTAGTAACTTGGTTTATTTACATCTATAACGGTATATAAAGCCAAAACGGGATACGACACTTGGGGCAACGAGAAAATTACCTATCAGCTTTATTGAATCCAAATCTAGCACCAAAGTAGAAAGCCACGGCAAGTAACCACGCGTCACTGTGTACGGCAACCAAAGACAACCAATCCTTTTCCTGCATCCCATCTCTGGCAAAATTAATACCCAGCGCGGGCTCTGGAAGCTCAGGAGGCACCTCTTCAGCAGGTAAATTCACCTCCCATTGCTCACTGGGATATCCATAGAGGCAAAGGTTCTCCCTCTCTGTAACCAAAATTTTAAAATTTTAATAACTCGGTTGCATTTCCTGCATTTGTAACCGAACGAGACAAAACGATAAACACACTACTAATCCAAATCAAATCCATATAACAAACCAATAACCAACTAATAATGAGCTTAAATAAGCAAAAGAAACCAAAAGAATCTACATTTGTAAAAAGAACTCCTGAGAAATAACAACAAAAAGTTGAAAATTAATCTAGACTACCTAGACCCCTCTTAGTTCAAACAAATCATTCTTATCTTAGAAAGTAAAGTGGGCGAAAGTCCTCGAAAGTTGTTCATAGTAAGTCGGGGCTGGAAGTTTTTCCGACAATTAAACACTGTGAAGTTGAGGGTGTTGTGGACGCAGATAAACTTCATGTGTTGTCTAACTGTCTTGTGGGGTGGTGCAAGAACTTTATCAAGATTGGTAATCTTGCTAACCAAATACAAGCCAAAGGACTAGCGGGTTTCACGCTTATGAGAGCTGCTGGAAATGTAGTTCTAATGGTTTTTGAAGATTCTAATTCGTTGAGATGCGTGAAGGATGAAAAGTTAGAAACTCTTGCAGAATGGTTTTCCAGAGTGGAAACTTGGTCTGAGAGCCTTGTGGTGGAGAGCCGGCGCGTTTGGCTAGTTTGCGAAGGTATTCCTTTTCACGCTTGGAATTGGGATACTTTCAAAAACATAGCTACTAAGTGGGGCAAGTTAATAGCAATCGATAACAGTTGTGAGTTCCCTTCGTCTTTTGATCGGGCTAAAATCCAAATACTCACAAACGCTCAAGTGAGAATTAATGAGTTGTTGGAGTTGAAGGTCGGGGATCATTTATTCAAAATCTTGGTGCATGAAGTTGATCCTTCCTTCAAACCTAATTCTTGGGTTCCTGAAGATTGCGATATTTCTTTAGATCTTGATCCTCCAATTGGGTTGTGATTGTTCGGCTGCTGTATTCAGAGGCGTTTTTAAGTTTGTGGTTGTAATTGTTGGTTTTTTGTTGTTGTTATGTTATCTTACATCTTGAGGTGATTTAGGGGCTTTTTGGTTGACGATGTAAGATTTCTAGGTGATATGGGTTGTATTGGTGTTTATTCCCGTATGTGGGTTTGGTGTTACCTCATGTACTTAGTATTATTTAATAAAATATGAGGCACTCTTTTCTCCCTTCCTTGTTCTTCAACATACTTCTAAGTATGTGGAAGAATACGAAGGGAGTTTTTAATGAGACCTCCAACTTCTATCAAAAAAAAAAATCTTAGAAAGTAAAGTTCAAACTAATCATAGAAAGGGTGTT